ATCCGACTGTATCTAAACGTTCTCGAGTCACTGTCCGGTTGAAAATTGTATGTTACCATCGAAAATGAGTACTGAAGCAGTTTTTCTGAAACCACGTGCGCCATTCAAACTGGCTGCCTTCAACGTTCGCACACTTATGCAGGTTGGTCAACAGATAGGGCTGGCTATGTCTTTGGAAAGTCTTAATATCGATGTCTGCTGTCTATCCGAGACCCGTATTCAAGACTCTGGCGAAGTACTACAAATTCGATTTCCATCTGTCGCTTCAAAAAGCTTGTTTTACGTGCGCTTATCCGGGGACCCCGTGGCATCTTCGTCTAGTCTTGCTGGCGTTGGTGTCGCACTAAGCGCTAGAGCTGAGGTAGCACTAATCGATTGGACTCCCATTAACAGTCGGTTATGTGCTGTTAGATTAGAAAGTTCCATCAAAGTGAGAAGAAATCGGCGTGAGAAACGATATCTTTTCATCATCTCCGCCTATGCCCCGACAGATTGCAGCCCGGATGCAATCAAGGATGAGTTTTACCACCAGTTATCTGTTCTTCTCCAGAATGTGCGTTCGACAGATATTGTAGTACTGGCCGGAGACTTGAATGCTCAGGTCGGGCGTCTAGGCACAGAAGAGAGTCATTTAGGTGGCCGATGGGGACTCGTTGGTCGCAGGTCAGATAATAGGGACCGTCTACTGCAACTGTGCACAGACCACAACCTGTTTCTGGCTAGCACTAACTTCCGGCACAGTCATCGCCGATGTGCCACCTGGCGTCCTCCCTCTGCATCTCAAGCCTGGGCTCAGATTGATCACATCGCGATCAGCTACCGCTGGCGTGGTTGTGTAAAAGACTACCGCTCCTTTTGGAGTACCTATCTGGACTCTGACCATGCCTTGGTCTGCGCCAATCTTGCCTTACTTTTCAGTGGCCAACGGGGTGACCACCACCAAAAGATTGATGTTAGCAAGCTGGTTGCAACTTCTGTTACAAGTAAGTATCGAACCGAGCTAGCCTCTAGGCTAGCTACCACTCCACCGAAAAGTATAGATGAGCATTGGTTGCAATTGCATGACGCCATGAAAATGGCGGGAACAGTCAGTTGTGGGTTTGCGAAACGTCCCGCTTTTAAGCACTGGATTTCTTCTGGTTCCTTACAACTCATTGAAGCCCGTCGGTCTACTCCGGGTGACCGTGAGTTTGACCATAAACGAAGGATGTTACGTACTGAAATTGGGCAAAGCTTGCGTAAGGACCGAGAAGCCTGGTGGTCGATGCGTGCTAATGAGTTGGAAGCAGCAGCTGCATTTGGTAACTGCCGGAAGCTCTTCCAGCTCATCCGAGCCACTGGCAGCAAGAAGTTTGGTGTGAGTGAAACAATCTGCGAGGATGATGGGATGCCAATCACTAACATCCATCGACGTCTTGGACGATGGGCGGAATTTTTCGAAGGGCAGTTCAACTGGCCTGCTGCTCCGACAACATCGGTCAGACTGTCCTGCCCTCCATGGCCGGTGACGACTGATCCACCAAACGAGGAGGAAGTCCGCAAGGAACTCCAACTCTTGAAGCGTTACAAATCACCTGGCACAGATGACTTACCTCCGGCTCTTTTTAAAGATGGTGGTGACTTTTTGACTAAGGAATTGACGACGTTGTTTACAAAGGTTTGGGAACCAGAGAGTGTACCAACGTCATGGAATGAGTCGATAGTTGTCCCTATCTTTAAAAAGGGCTCGCGTCGTTCCTGCAACAACTATCGGGGGATAAGTCTACTTCCGATTGCGTCCAAGCTATTGGCTTCCGTCATTCTTCGTAGGTTGTTCAAAACCCGAGAAAGATTGACTCGCGAGGAGCAGGCTGGGTTTCGTTCTGGTCGAGGATGTATTGATCATATCTTCACCCTCCGCCAAATGTTAGAACATCGCCATACTTTTCAAAGGCCAACAATCGTAGTGTTTCTTGACATCAGGGCTGCCTTCGATTCGTTGGACAGAACTGTTCTCTGGGATTGTCTATTGAAGAAGGGTGTGCCTGAGAAGTTTATTAACATCCTAAAAGCCCTATATACAAACACCTCAGGCAGAGTGAGGGCATACAACCACCTCTCTCCATTGTTCCATTCGAGCAGTGGGGTTAGGCAGGGTTGCCCAATCTCACCATTCCTCTTCAACTGTGCCATCGATGACATTCTGGAAACAGCTCTGATGAATGTAAGTAATGGCGGTGTGGATCTGTTGCCTGGAGAAAGACTTCTCGACATTGAGTATGCGGACGATATTGTCTTACTCTGCGATAATGCCCAAGGCATGCAATCCGCACTTAATCAGTTGGCAATCAGTGTCCGTAGGTATGGTATGTGCTTTGCACCTTCCAAGTGCAAAGTACTTCTACAAGACTGGCAGGATTCTAATCCTGTACTCACCCTGGATGGTGAGCAGATAGACGTAGTTGAGAAGTTCGTGTATCTGGGTAGCTGCATAAGTGCTGGTGGGGGTGTGAGTGATGAGATCAATGCACGAATAGTGAAAGCCAGAGCGGCTTATGCCAATCTGGGCCATCTTTGGCGCCTTCGTGATGTTAGTCTGGCTGTAAAAGGTCGGATCTACAACGCGTCGGTGAGAGCGGTTCTGCTCTATGCTTGTGAAACCTGGCCTCTACGAGTTGAGGACGTTAGACGACTCTCTGTGTTCGATCATCGCTGTCTCCGAAGGATTGCTGACATTCAGTGGCAACACCATGTCAGTAATGCAGAGGTTCGGCATCGTGTGTTCGGGCACAGAGATGATAATGCAATTGGTGTCACCATCTTGAAACACCGACTTCGATGGCTTGGACATGTTCTACGAATGTCGTCTCAGAGAATTCCATGTCGTGCATTATTTGCCGACTCTGGGACTGGTTGGAAGAAGCGGAGAGGTGGTCAGTGCATGACATGGTGTCGTGGCATGAAAGAAAGCTGCAAAGGACTGGCTTGTGTTGGTCCTTCACGACTCCCTGGTTGGGGTCTGAGAGATGGTGCTACACAGTGGCTAGAGACGTTATCAGATATGGCTCAGAATAGAAGCCAGTGGCGATCCTGCTGTAACCTCCTTTTACTTTCTTCATAAAAAGTGGTTGTGTCTCCCTTACCTGAAAGATTTCTTCTGATTATACCTTTTCGTTCCTTCGTTACTACCACACTACCTTACACCAATCTCTTCGTTGTTGTTCTCTTTTTCTTTTGCGCTCCTTATTTATTTTGTACTTCTCTTCGAATTTTCATTGTTTTGTGTGGCGCATATATATTGGCGCTCTCTTGTACCAATATTCATGTGTTCAAATAATAATAATAATAAGTAACTAAGACCCTGAAGAAGCAGGTAGCACATATTCGCCGTAGTATCGAGGATGGTGTTGAGAAAGGCGCCCTTGTACGAGTTGTGAACAAGAGTAAGGGTGCATCTGGTAGTTCTATAGGATCCAATGCTATTCTTAGACAGATCATGTGTAGTTGGAATCAGAATAAGACAGTAAATGCCCTTTTAGAGAGAGGTTGCGAATGGCGCTTTAAACTTCCGAGGTCTAGTCAACGAGACGGTGTATGGGGACGCATCATAAAGTCGATAAGAAGAATTCTACGATCACTATTGTTTCAGAAGGTATTGATGGATGAGTCTTCGAGAGACTTAGTGTTATTAAACAATGTTGGCTCACTGAGAAGTCTATGGTCCAAAGCTATTGTCGAACAAGTAAGCTATGGCTTTGACGGACAAGTTGGTACGGCAAAATTGAGAACCGCAAACGAAGAAACTGCTCGGGACGTACGACGCTTATGTCTACTAGAAGGAGCCGGCTGTCTGACGGCGACGACGACTCTGGACAACGGACGTGGTGCGCGTTTCGGGGGGAGTGTAAAATGTGATTGATAGACGAACCCACCAATAATAAGTGAAACGCCCACCACCACATCAACTCCTTTTGACCTTGTACGACTGTATCTCTTTATTAACCAACCACAGTTTAATGTTCATTGTAAAACAATATTGGCTTGTTGACTCATTTTTCCTATTCTCTGGCTACTGTTCGGTATGTTATTTGTCTGTTTTTCCCTGTATTAATAGACCGTACTGTTTGTTTGTACACTAACGATGTTAATTTATGTTTTAGAAACAGATCAAGTTTATCTAGCCAAATAGCTTGCTTGTTCTGACTTTGGCTAAACCAAGACTCTGTATTCGACAGTCTAGGGATTAGCTTAGAGTTGAATCTGTGGGAAATTGCTTCCTACAACTAGTAATATTCAACAATCATACTAACGTTTGTGTGCTCAGCTTTCACTTATATGCCCTTGTAAAAGTAATTTAGACTCACGAAATGGCAGACTCATTTGGTATAGTTATGTCGCAATAAATAAAACATTATCGGATACTAATATGTTTTTAGAAGTGATAAGGAGTATTTTGGCCTACGTGATGCGGCTGAATTCATGAGACATCCATTTATTAAAATTACTCAAACCTAGAGAAAAACGAAAACTATAGAAGCGGTTGGGTTTTGGAGCTTGATGTTATGTTTAGTGCTTTGTTTATATGAACACTGTCAGTAAACAAATGAGTCACAGAAAAACTCATAGGTAATAATGGAACCAGAAAAATGTAAAGTGGTGAAGATCGATTTATGTCTAATTTTTACATATATTATAGTTAATGAACCTAGATAGTCACATGTTCGATGCAGGAAAGTCGAAACTCTGAGTAAATTCCGAAGCATTGCGAAACATATATTCAGTGAACATCTGACAGTCCCGAAATGCCTTGGTACACTCGAGAGTGGGGAGAGTATACTCCCCCTCTCGAAGTGCTCTCATATGGTCATGTGCATACAACCACTGCCAGAGAATGATGGATAAACATTTGTTAAAACTAAGTCTATATTTAGTGACTTTCGTTCTACATATTTGCAAAAGGTATGGAAAACCGTTAGTCCAAAAGCATTTGTTAAATTACCGAAAGTACAAACCAAACGTACCTCTTCATCCAGAATAGTTTCTTTTTTAATAACTTTCATTGCATATATACGATTAGTTGGTTTGTGCTCTACTTGAAATACTTTAGCATAACTACCACGACCAATCACTTTGAGTAAATTGAAATCATGTAAACCAACCCGTCCAGAAGTGATTGGAATATCAGGAATATCTATAATGCGCTGTTCTATGATTGGTATGGACTTATCATCAACTTTATCAGTGATGATTGAAACGGGAACTGGTACACTACTAGGGTGAACACCACCACTTGTTTCAATTATTAAGTTGTCTGAACCTGATTTGAGCTAAAAAAAAAATTTAGCATAAGTAAAACGAACGGAGATTAGAAACATTAATTCATGGAATATTTTGAGTAGATGTGCCTTATTTTACGAATTACCTTTCAAATGTCAGTCAGTAGCAATGTAGAACTTCGTACGTACGTACATCAGTTCCAGTTACCATACCACATTAGCACAGAGATGCAGTTGTCGATTCAAATCCCATAGTAGTAGAGGTAGTAAGAGTATAAGCAGTAATCGGAAAGATTAGGGTTTGGAGATGTTATTCAAGGAGTATAATCCAGTGAAATAAATTTGGGATGAGAAAAAAAGAGACAAGGAGGAATCAGGATATTAGAATTTGGGAGAACACAAAGAGTGGATGCACCTGAGCCATGCCATTCAGGGTCTCTAACCATCGGTTGCTATCATCTCGCTATCCCCAACCAGGTAGTCTACACCTACCAACATGACTCAGACCACTTGTCAGTGACTTCATGGACTTGTGCCATGTTTTGGTCTGACCGCCCCTAGCTTTCTTCCAACCTACTCCTATACCATTGAACATCGCACGTCGAGGCAGTCGGTGGTTGGGCATACGTAACACGTGTCCCAGCCATCTCAACTGATGAATTTTCACTACGTCATCAATTGATTTGCCATCCTTACCTAGTACCCGTTTCCTAACACCTGCGTTACTTACTCGATGGTCCCAGGATATACAAGCAATGTTTCGAAGACACCTATGACCAAATACTAGTAACCTACGAATATCCTCTACTCTTACCAGCCATGTTTCACTGCCATAAAGTAGGACGGAACGAACTGCTGCACAGTAAACACATTCTTTGGTTGATAGACGGATATTTCGCCTACGCCATAAATGACGCAAGTTGGCAAGAGCTAGTCGAGCCTTCTGTGTCCGTGCTGAGACTTCGTCACATACCCTATGTAATACCATCCATCAACGAACATAGTATTCGTATATTATATGTCGTGAATGGAAGGCTAATTACAACAACAGAGCTTGTTTAGAATGAAGAAATATTTGACAATATGACTATATTATTTATTTTGAGTGAAGAATTGCATAGATCATCGTATATGGTTCTACCGTATTTTTCTTAGGAGATAATACCCTTATATGAGTTAGCTAGCACTAGCATAATTAATAGGTTTGAAAGAAATACACTTTTTCCTTAAAAATAAATATTATTTTATCATAACAAATAAACAAACGTGATAGATATGGAACCAAGAGAGCATGTATCTACGGAATTTTTAATGAAAATACTTACATTATTTTTTGTATTGGATGTTGGCGTAAAGTGTTTGTCTGATGTTTCTGAAAAGAATAAGGTGGAACATATCTGAAGTAAGGGTCAATTACTCGTTTTCAAATTTCGTGACAGTCATTAAAGAGCAACGCAACTACCCTGAAGTTTGAGTTACTCACTACTCATCAACAGCTTCTACAGGACGTATCTGTCGGGCCTTCAACTACCAATGAATTTACGGTTGTTATAGTTAGACTGAAAAGCGAGAAAGAACAGTCGACTGTGATATAGGTTTTCTCAAGATGGCGGTATTACAGTGTGAGCGACTGCTCTGATAATTAGTTTCTAGTTGTAATTCACAAGATAAACTAATATCTATGGTTGGAGACTAGATGGTGCGACACAAAATCGGACGTAATACAGCAAACTTTTCCATTCTTTATTTTCCTTTAAATTATGAGTTGTAATATTATTTCATATATTTTAATATTGTATTCCCTATCACTTAGTATTTTGCTATTAATTTAACTAATTATTATTATTATTATTATTATTATTATTATTATTATTATTACTATTATTATTATTATAAGCTTTATTCAATATTATATTTTCGGTACAATATAGAATTCTCAGCACAAAGTATTTCAACAAGTTTCCGTTTCTTTCTTCTGGGTCGATCCTGACGATAAATATTGAGTGATAGCCAGTTAGATGTTAGCAGTCCAGTAAATAAACATCTGAATAATGTATATTCTTTTCTCTGCATATTGCCAGCGACCACATTATCTCTTATTGAGCTTTTAGTAACTTTGACAACGAAAGGTTGTAAACTTTTCAGAAATGCACAAGGATGGGTTATGTGATTAATATACATAATGATATATTAAAACAAACAAAAATAGATAACTTGTTGAAATATTTAGATGACAGGAACAGGTAGCCCAGATGCTCAAGCAGGCCGCCCAATTCAATGTTTATTTCGTTAATTTTCTCACTTGTTGTTCCAATGTGAAGTATGGCAACTTAGATCGACGCACATTTATGTCAAATCCTTCGTTGCTTATGATATACTGACTGGTCTAGGATTTGATTCTACGTATGGACGTAGGTGATCATTAGTGGATCGTGAATTACGATGAATTATCTACTAAATGGTTATTGCTCCATCATGACTTCTCAACTGATGTCAATTTGTGAAGAAAATCATTCTCAAAACTTAGGACTTACGATTTGATTCTTTTTCACCTAAACCAATGATTTTTTCTAGCTTTGGTGGCTTTGAATCATCTTTGCATGGTTGAATAGTGACAGGAAGACGGGATGGGAGTGTATTACTTGTCCCAGAAGATAGATCTGTTGCTATGGTTGTAGGTCTGTTTCCATTGTTATCCCACACAATAGGAGTGGAACCGGTGGAAAATGTAGAGATTGAACGCATGTTTTGATAGGTCGGTCTTATGAATGCTTCACCACATTTATGACGCACGCCACCTTGACAACGACGATGAAGTAGAAGACGACAATTAATACATTTAAACCCTTGTTGTCCCAAACCCCATATACGCTCCTTACAGTAAGCACATACGGCATTCTAAGATGAGAAAAACAACGAAAGATATATATTAATTCAAATGGCATAAAGCAAGTTATATCTGCTGACTAGATCGGAGTAATTTATTTCGGTCGGTCAAAATGTTTCCGTTACCCATTGAATATGTGAATAGTCATGGTGAGTTGCTCTTTTAAAACAGCATTCTTTGTTGGGACGCTAAATTATAAAAAAGAAGTAACCTAGAGAAGAGTAATACACTACATAGAAAGATACTAATGCCACCATCATTCGAAGGCCCTCCTGAAGAGACAATGTTACTACTACTTACTGGATGATATTATGAAGGATGATTTTGTGGAGAAACAGTTTGCAATTTTTTTAAATAAATGACTGCTATACAGACAGATTAATGAAATACAATAATACAAACTAGCTGATCGATGACTACTCGTGTGACCGATTTATTTACTTAAACCTTTAGACAATAAAGAATCTCTGAATAATAGATTGATTCATTGGGAAGTTAGGACCAAAAAATAGATAATTTTATCAGTTGTTGGATATCACTACAATCCAAGACAATGACTTTTGTTATCTGAAATGACAATGCCCTAGGTATCTTTAAACATGTGCATAAATTTGAGTAGGTGCAACACAATCAATAGGACACTCATAAAAATTTTGTTCGGGTATTAGTTATAACAGAAACATCTTCATAGAAAGATTTTATTTTTTATTTCAACACATAAATATTGGTATAAGAGGGCACCAAATAAATATGCGCCACACCATATTTGTGTGTGTGGGCTGTGATACTGCCCGGGTGCCCAGACCGAAGCAGGTGGTTTTCTTAGGGGGTCAAACCCCGAGCCTTCAACCCAAAGGTCTGATCCACAAGGCAGTGGAGCATCGTGAGGAGATGCAGTCCCATGGTAGCCGGTGACCAACGATTGGTTCATACGCCATTTGTTCCCGCAGGATACTGGAGCCGGCGACCATACCACGTTGAAAGCACCGGTTCTCATAGAAAGATAACCAATCATAACATAGATTCTGGGCCAAGCTGCCATACTATATTAGTACAATGTGATGGAATTAACAAGACGAATCCCAAAGGAGTTGAAATAATAGTTGCATCAGTAGAAGGTTAAAGGATAATACACTGAGAATATTATTTCAAAAAGTATATATGAGGGAATATTAAAAATTAATATATAGAGGAAGATAAAGATTTAGTAAATCTGAGCTAGTGAGATCCATTATGAGCTGTGTCATGTTGGTAACTGATAAAAAGCAATCCTAAAAAATACTAGTGAATTTACCCGATTAAATCGTCTGGCAGCAAACTGATGACCATGCAATAAATAAAATTTCTTTTTCCATCGTTTAGCACCTCTTCGGTACATATTAACTGATAAACAAAACATAAGAGGACAAGAGAGTAGCGAGTAAGTGAAGTCAACAAATTATAGCCTCAAACTAACAAATTAAAAAACCTGTAGGTGGTAAATCCGATCCTAACTAGGAATGATAAAAGTACAACTCATACATGCATACATACCAATGTAATCGACTATTAACCAAACCATGTGTATGGGAGTTGATGATGTTGCTTGGATATCCAAACCTTGGTAAACAAAATGAGAATCAAACTCTTGATCTAGATGTTGAAAACCAAGTACTTAAACCATTTCTATCACTAGTAATATTTGCACTGTTATATATAGTTCTTACTTAAAAGCATATGTATCTAGTCAAGTAATATTGATCACTTTTACAACCGCACTACTGGAGACCTATGTAAATGCGTAAAAATTAAATCCAGAAAAATAAGCGTATAAAACTACCAGCTGAATGCTAAGCATTCTTTACAAATTATATGATTCAAAAAGTAAGATTTTATGTTCCTCATTATGGATTATTAGTGAACAAGTGTTTTGTTACCATAAAATAGTAATTGCCCCCACGATACCCGTTGAATTTCATAAAATAAAAGCGTAGAGACATCGTAAACAGATGCCTTAAATAGCTGAGTGTTAACTTGGTTCGATATTATAAACGGAAAATCCCGGTAAGCCGTCTTGTTGTTTTCAGAGACATTTAACATCTGATAAGAAAATGAATTCATGCCGTTTAAAGTTCAATCAAAGTAAAAAAAAAATAGCTGAGGTTAATTCCAAAAAAACTATATTTTACTCCTTACTCACAAATTTTACAATTCATGCTTGACTTCTCATATCATGGAAGTGACTTGATTTGTATTTAAGCCAATTACTAATAAGCATTCAGAAGTTCAAATTGATAAGGTGATTTTTGCGAACTTGAGGATAGTTTTTAGTACTGTTAGGACTTATTTATTTGAACACATAAATATTGGTACAAATGGGCACCGTATACGTATGCGCCACACAAGTCACTTGAGTTGTGTGTGGGCTATGATACTACCCGACTGCCCAAACTGAAGCAGGTGATTTTCTTAGGGAGCCACACCCGGAGCCTTCGACTTAGAGGTCTGATCCATAAGACAGTGGAGCAACGTCAGGAGATGCCGTCCCATGGTAGCCGGTGACAATTAATTGAATCGTACACCATTTTTTCCCCAGGATCCTGGAGCCCATGTGCACCACTGGGTTGGAATCAGGGTTTTTAGCTCACTGAGTGGACTCTCCGCGTTCTCCAACCCTGTTAAAGTGCCGGACATTCGCTTTTCGTCCTCCTAATTTCATAAACAACACCATGACCACGAGAAGGCAGTGAGTAGGACTTCCCTGACAGTGGCTGTATACGCGTGGTTATGTGAGGGCGTTTCGAAAGAGAGAACTGACTCTCCCCACCCTCGGCCGTACCAGGGTATTGGAGGGCAGTCTGACTGTAAATAAATCATATGAAAAGTGGTGTTTCTAAACCATTTTAATTTGTTTTCAGTGTCAAATAAATCTTCCTCTACTGTTTTCGTGTTCACGATTCCCAGTACTAAGTATCAATTCAGTTAAATATTCCACAGACTCAACACCGACGTTTAGTGTTTTCTTAAACTTCATCTAAAAATTAGTCAAGAAAATATTTTTTTGAAATTACCATTTCAGAAATTTTAAATAGCTGTCATAAATTTAAATATAATGCTCTGAAACATATGTCCTCATTAACTGGTCATCATTGGATATCTTAAATTGTTTAATTAATCCCTACTAATTTCATATTTCATCATCTTTGGTACTAGCTGAATGTACATGCTTCATGTTTTATTTCTTTTTTTAAGTTGCTGGAGATTGGATTGAAGAGTTATTTTAGATAGTGAGAACATTTGTTATGGGTAACTTTGTTGATTGTCCTCTCAATTTCGTAAACAACACCCTGGCTGCAAGAAGGCGGTGAGTAGAACTTCCTTGGTAGTGGTTGTATGCGTGGCCATGAGAGAGCATTTCGAAAGAGAGCTGACTCTCCCCACCCTCGACCGTACCAGGGCACTTTTGAGACTAACATTTTCTTAACAAGAAAACCCTTATCAAATTGGCCTAAAATATTGATTGTGCTGATCAGAAACGTGAAAATCTAGGGCATTTTATCAGCAGTAAGATAGTATTTTAAAGTCATTATACATGGACAACTTCATATCAAAGTAAGTTTGTATTACTATTATTATTACTTCACTATTTGAACACTGGTAAACACTGGTACAAGAGGGCGCCAAATACATATGCGCCACAAAATAACAATGAGGTTGTGAAAAGATAGAGAAACGAAAATGTATACAATAAAAAGAACAACGAACAGAAATAATTGTATGAGTGAAATAATAATAATGGGAGAAACAGTTCAGTTAGCCAGTGTACAACCCGAAAAAATTCTTCCAGTTAAAGAAGTTACGTCCACTTTTTATGTAGAAAGTAAAAGAAAAGTTACAGCAGGATCGCTACTAACTTCCACTCTGAGCAATATCCGGTAACGTTCCTAGTCACTGTGTCACACCATCTCTAGGACCCCAACCAACGAGTCGTACAGGACCAACAGAAGCCAGTCCTGTACAGTTTTCTTTCATACTACGACACCATGCCAGACACTGGCCACCTCCCTGCCTTTCCAACCCAGCCCCAGCGTCGGCGAATAATCCACAAAGTGTAGTTTTTTGAGACGAAACTCGTAGGGCATGTTCAAGCCGCCAAAGTCGATGTTTCAAGATGATGACACCGGTTGAGTCGTCATCTTTGTTCCCGAATAGGAGATGCCGAACCTCTGCATTACTAACATGATGTTGCCACTAGGTGTCAGCAATCCTTAGGGGACAACGATGATCAAATGCAGAGTCGTCTAAAATCCTCAACTCGGTGATTTCCACTTAGAAGATTCACAGAACATACCATACCCATGGACACTAATTTCCAACTGATTATGTGAGGAATGCATGGCTTGAGTATCATCCTACAGTCAGGCAATATCATCCGCATACTCGAGGTCGAAAAGTCTTTCTCGACACAACAGATCCACATCACCATTACGTACATCCATCTGCGCTGTTTCCAGAACGTCATCGATAGCAAAGTTGAAAAAGGTTAGGCAACCCCGCCTAACCCAACTGCTTGAATGAAACAGTGGAGAGAGGTGTTTGTATACAGGGGTTTCCAAGATGTCAATAAGCTTCTCAGGCACACTCTTTTTCAATAGACAATCCCAGAGAACAAACCTGTCCAACGAATCGAAGGTGGCCCTGAAGTCAAGAAACACAATGATTACTGGCCTATGATAAGTATGACGGTGTTCTAACATTTGGTGGAGAGTGAAGACATGGTCAATACATCATCAACCATAACGAAAGCCAACATTCTGGTGGGTTGACACCCTTGAACCTAGCTCGGTTTGATATTTAGTTGTAACACAAGCTGCAACCGATTTGGAGACATTGGCCCATTTGGGGCGATGAATTTGTTGGCAACTGAAACGCAAACAATCGGATGATCCGAGTCCAAACAGTTACTCTAAAAGGAGGTTATTGTACACAACCACAACAGCGAGCTGATAGCGATGTAACCAATCTTGAGTCCAGGCTTGAAAAGCAGAGGGAGAACGCCAGGTGGCACATCAGCGATGACTATCCCGATAGTGGTAGCCAGAAGTATTTATTTATTTATTTGAACACATAAATATTGGTACAAGAGGGCGCCAATATATATGCGCCACACAAAACGATGAGAATTCGAAGAGAAATAGAAAAAAAAAGAGAACAATAACGAAGAGATTGGTGTAAGGTAGTGTGGTAGTAACGAAGGAACGCAAAGTTACAATCGGAAGAAATCTTTCAGGTAAGGGAGACACAACCACTTTTTATGAAGAAAGTAAAAGGAGGTTACAGCAGGATCGCCACTGGCTTCTATTCTGAGCCATATCTGATAACGTCTCTAGCCACTGTGTTGCACCATTTCTCAGACCCCAACCAGGGAGTCGTGAAGGACCGACAGAAGCCAGCCCTTTGCAGCTTTCTTTCATACCACGACACCATGTCATGCACTGACCACCTCTCCGCTTCTTCCAACCAGTCCCAGAGTCGGCAAACAATGCACGACGTGGAATTCCCTGGGACGACATTCGTAGAACATGTCCAAGCCACCGAAGTCGGTGTTTCAAGATGGTGACACCAATTGCATTATCATCTCTGTGCCCGAACACACGATGCCGAACCTCTGCATTACTGACATGGTGTTGCCACTGAATAAACGTACGCGAAACGAGCTTTTTGAAGAAACAGGTGGAGAGCTAATTTGCAGTACTTCACTATAGTCTTGAACATAGGTGTCAGATAAATAAAAGACATTGATGTTGAGACTTTTTAAGGATGTACCCAATCCTATCTAATGTCCGATCTGCATCAGTGTGCGACTATTGAAGGAGGGTCTTATTGGGGAATATTGAAATAGAAAATTATGGTTGTCAAATAAATTCAAGACAGTATTTTAATAGGTGAAAAAGTAGAGCCTTCAGAGAAGTCACTCATATTTTCAAAAGAATACGACTTTTCTCAAATACAATCAGTATGAAAGGTAAATGCTTTTATAATATGCAGTTGACAATGAAAACACTTACTATCTTCGCCAGGACAGGGTTTACCCGGTTCACTTGGAACTCCATTAAATACTAAAACAAAGTAAATGGGAAATTTATGAAGCTTAACTGCAAAGTTAGAATTAGACCAGGTACACGTTATAAATCATTTACGAACAAACACCGCGATAATACATCATACACAAAGTATCGATGGGATATTTACGGGTTTAAAACCACGGAAAAACCTTTCTACATTTGAAATCTCAAGCGAATCGGAATTTCATGCCTCTATTAGGATTATTGATTTTATCCATTAGTATTTTTCCGAAACAGAAGTGTATTGTGTTAACGTTATTTCACTTATAATTCATCTTTATTCGCTTTTGACATCAAGATTATGACCATTTAGTTCAGCAATCAGTAATAAGTGATAGTTTTGACTATTGTGTTCAATATAATGATCTAAGGAGCCTACCCAGGCAACACATTTTACAGAAATAATCACGTCTTCGTTAAATGTAGTTAATCAATTTATAAATATGGACAGGAAATCGTCCAAACAATCTTTCGTCAATTCTACTAATATGTAAGAACTAATAAAATCGTGAACTCATGATTAAACATCAACTTCATTGACTATAAGAAAGTTAGTCAGTCAGCTACAACGTAGGACCAGGCACATATATGCATCAGTCCGAGTTCCCACACTTCATAAGCACAAGGTAAACACGAGATTCATATATATATATATATATATATATATATATATATATATATAGAGAGAGAGAGAGAGAGAGAGAGAGAGAGAGAATTAATTCGTAGAAAGATATGAAGCGATTTTAATCTCTTAGTTTAAGGGAAGACACAGAGTGTATACACCGACGCCATTGTGATCGATTCTGAGCCATGTCACCAAGAATCCTCGACTATTGTTAGTGACTTCATGGACTCATGCCATGTTTAGGTTTGGTCGCCCCTAACTTTCTTCTAGCCATCCCCAACACTAGTCAGCATTGCGCGTCGTAGTAATCGGAGTTCAGAAATATGTAACACGTGGCCCAACCATCTCAGTCGATGAAGATTAACAACCTCATCAACTGATTTACCATCATTACCTAATACCCTGTGTCTAACCTTACTATTACTTACCCGGTGATCCCGTGGTCCGGTCTCATAAGGATCTAGAGGTGACAGTGAGTCATGATCTTAAAACGACGGCTCATTGCCGGGAGGTCGCAGCTAAGGGGTTTTGAATCCTCTGGGCTCTAAAACGGACATTCACTAAGTTAGATACTACCATGTTCACCACAGTATACACATCCTTAGTGAGAACTAAGCTTGAGAACTGCGTTCAGGCTGCAAGCCCCTCTCGGACCGGAGCATACTAGAAAAGGAATAAGATAGGCCGTAGGCCCTCTGTCCTTACTACACAAATCTGAATCTTGGTTTCATTGATGGACTAGTACATCATAAAACCAGTGACTTCGCAGCTGTAAAGTAAGCTTTTAAGGGTAGAACCTTATCAAACATCACCCAAGTCATTGACCATTTGCTAAAGAAAGCCTATTTTAGCTTTTCAATGACATTTTTGCCAAGTAAATTCTAAGACGATGTCTATTTGACGTTAGTTGGCCACTAAAAGCGTTCTTAACTCACTGCATATACATCAACATGACAGTGACCGAATTTACCAGAGAATATGAAGTGAAACCCAAACAATAGTCAAAATACTGTTTAAAAAAGTACACAGGAGAAACTTACCATGAACTGTTAGTTGCCATTCTTTATTCAACTCGTGAAGTCGGAACGCCTCTTTTAATTCCATTTCTGAGGAAATAACGATAGGATCGTGTTCTTCGTCGATCCATTTTATTGTGAATGGTTGATCTTTGGTGAAACTACACAATTCTCGGACTTGTTGGTCAATGACCTGAAGACTAGCTGACAACGGACAGCTCGTCACCATTGCAACACTTTACAGATCAGGAGGATAAAAGTGTTAATAAAACCATAAAGATATTAGGAACTTACGAATTATGTATATACTTGATTTGAAGTGTATTTGAGTTTAGAGAGGACATTGCTACTAAATATGGGGAAACCTCAAATAGTAGCGCAAAATGTCGAAAACCCGGTCAGTGAAGTATTCACTTAAACCTTCTGATTATCCAAATCTGATTAGCTTTTTTGATCCGTAAAGTTTGGAAACGTAGATCTCGAGTTATATGATCTGTTTAAAAGGGTTCTAAGATTGGAGAAATGAAGATATCTACTAACTAGTACCTGGGAGCAGGATTTTACTGATATTCATATAAGACCTTATGCGTCCCTAGGAGATAAAACCAAGCAAATATCGAACTTAACTTACAACTGTAATAGTAAACAAATCCCCGAAATAAGTAGTTCTATAAGTTCTGCAAGTCTCATTAGTCTTATTTGGCACACAATAGCTGAAGGCGCCCGGTCACCCATCCTCAACAAATCACGAATGGTTATGTCGCGCTATACATCCCTTGCAAATATTAGCCAGATTGGACCAAACGCTTTTCAGTATGTCCAAATATATCATCGAACCCCTTCATTTCTGACTTCTGGTCTGACTGGGTTGGAATCCTTTGATTATAAAGGTGCTACGTGTGAAGGCTATGTTAAACTCTGGGTACCTGTTGCATCTTTACTACAACTTTACACATAACGCACTTGTTCTTAATGTGACCATATAACCTCTGCTATCGCAGCCCAATCTGTTCTCTTGATGATCTTGTTGTGGAACGCACAAATCTCCGAAGCCATTAAGGATTTTCATTGACCCAGACGTTAGTTGTAAAAAGATATAATCCATTTGCTTCCACAACGTATTCGACAGTAAGCTACCTGTGATTACTGTGAGGGAGTTCTTAGAACATTATTTTTCTAAAGACGCATATCTTATTTCAAATAACGGATTATATTTATTGTGGTCGTGTATGGAATTGAGAGTATTCTGTTACAACAGAAATATAAATGTTTGTAGTTATAATACTCGCACTATTATTTAAACCTACCGTTTTTCACTTTCCTGTTTTGTTAGGTATTATGTTTCCCATATTCCTCTGTTGGCTGGTGAAATTTTTGTGCATTTGACTGAAGTATACCTTCACTCCGCATGTTTTTCATGTTGTGCGATGAACATTATGGTGACATATATTCAGTGATTTTTGTAACAACAAAAATAAAAACCACATTTTTTCTCTAATTTGTCACACCTTATTTGTAACCACATTTTTATTCAATATCTGTTGTTTTGCTGTATCACTTGTTAAAAAAGACGATGATAATTGTTTCGATGAATGATACACACTTCTTCTACCGGGTTGTTTAAAATATAGAACAATACTTACGCCGTTTGTTCTTCTGTTTTATTGGCCACCGCTTTGATTGAAGACTATAATAGTATTATAACATCATTATAGGCCTTCCGACTCAACGTTGGGCTTTTGGCACGGATTACTATTGTATAATACTATTGGACTCCGTCTTCCTCATTACGTCTTTGGTGCAGTCACTTGCAGAGGAACACCTGTCAACCAAGTGAACTCAGTTTGTGGTCGTTGTCCTCACGAGGCAGTTAACAAGTAACATTCATTCTATAGTAACTGTTAGCGTCTGTTTTGTTTAATATACCTTTTGTATTGCTAACGGTATTTTATTACCTTTGTTTTTACTAACGGACAGACATCTAGGTTTCTTAATCAATAATTTGTTTTGGTATATCATTGTTAACCTAGTGTATCAATATAATTTGTGTAAGCTCCTTTTGTTTGGGGACCACCACAAATCTGGTGAGCCCGTAAAACTTTTTTTCTCTCTCTCAACTACTTTTGAGTTCACTCACAGACATTACGGCGTTATTTTACCCTTGGTAGTATTTAAATTTTCTTATATTCGTAATGTACTCATCCGAAACTGAAGGCATTAGCCAGGATAACATTTCAGCAGAGCTACATGCTCTAAATTTGATAAATGTGCCCCCATTCAGCCGATTAAATCCTCGCATTTGGTTTGCGCAAGTAGAAGTACAATTTCAGCGTCGCAACATACGCTCACAGGCATCTAAATACTCTTTTGTACTTGGATTATTACCCACTGAAGTTGCATCTGAGGTGTCAGATTTGATAGATAATATTCCTGCACCTAATCCATATGATCAATTGAAGCAGGCAATTATTCAACGTACCTCATTATCTGATGAAAAGAGATTACAGCAATTACTACACGAATGTGAGCTAGGCGACAAATCACCGTCTCAATTATTACGACACATGAGACAATTAGCTGGCCCTTATAAATTTGATGACGCCTTTCTCAAGGAAATTTGGCTACAACGTTTGCCAACAGTAGTTAGGCAAATTCTTTGCGCCTCTAGCCAACCATCAGATTTAGAAAGTCTTGCTAGCATGGCCGATAAAATTTTAGAAGTTACACCCTGTTCTACTCCCTACGTACAGGCAATATTAGAAACTTCGAACGATAAGCAAACTCCCACCATAGCATCGTTAACTGCTGAACTAGGCGAACTACGAGCACAACATGAACGAACTGTCGCCAGTCTTGAAAATAAACTGGATGCATTACAATTATTAATCTCCAACTTCACATCTTCAAGACCTCGCTCTAGTTCTCGAGGGAGTAAGGATCGAGATAACTCAAAACGAAACAAAAACGACGACAACATATGTTGGTACCATAAAAAATATGGTGACAAAGCTAGGAAATGTGTTACGTCTTGTAAATTTTTCAAGTCATTTTCCTCACCAAAACGTGTCAACCAAACCATGGTAGCGACAAATGTTTCTGGTCGTGCGCCTACTCGTCTTTTCCACGTTCTTGATAAAACTTCAGGGTACAAATTCTTAGTAGATACTGGAGCTGAAGTTAGTGTCATCCCAGTTACCTTAGCCAATAAACCTATTGCTAAGAGTGGAAAATATACCCTAAGGGCAGCTAATAAAACCGAAATAAAGACATTTGGCGAACAATTTCTAACATTAGACTTGGGAATTAGACGTAATTTAACCTGGGTGTTTATTATTGCGGATGTCCGTCACCCTATACTAGGTGCAGATTTTCTCAGTTTCTACAACCTACTAGTTGACGTTAAGAGAAGAAAACTTATTGATTCCTGCACAAACCTTCAAATCCAGGGAATTCAGTCGGACTACCACATACATAGTATTAAAATCGACACCCCAGGGAACGACATATTCGCCACCATTCTATCTAAATTTCCCAAAATAACGAAACCAGACTACAGTGAAAACACTGTCCAACATTCTGTAGTACATCGGATCATCACAAAAGGTCAACCAACTTCGGCACGTCCACGCCGATTACCACCAGACAAACTGAATGTTGCAAAAGCTGAGTTTGATCATATGATGCAGCTGGGTATAATACGCCCGTCAAGTAGCCCCTGGGCATCCCCACTCCACATGGTGCCCAAGCGAGACCAAGATTGGCGACCTTGTGGTGATTATAGATCATTGAACAACCTAACATTACCGGATCGCTACCCAATCCCTCATTTACATGATTTTTCTCTCACTTTACATGGTAAGCAAATTTTTTCTAAAATTGATCTTGTGCGAGCGTACCACCAGATTCCAGTAGCATCCGAGGACATAGCAAAAACAGCCATCATTACTCCATTTGGTTTGTTTGAATTCCTAAGAATGCCTTTTGGATTAAAGAACGCCGCACAAACATTTCAACGATTTATGGATGAGGTCACTAAAGGCCTAGATTTTGTTTTCGTGTATATTGATGATGTCTTAATAGCTAGCAGTTCGATCCATGAACACGCTGATCATCTACATCAATTATTCGAAAGATTTCAGAAATATGGCATAGTGATTAATCCATCCAAATGTATTTTCGGAGTTGAGAGTTTAGAGTTTTTAGGTCACTTGATCGACAAACGTGGAATTAAACCTTTGGATACAAAAATAGAAGCCATCAAGAGTTTTCCAGAACCAGACTCATGGAATAAACTTCGACGTTTCTTGGGGATGATCAATTTTTATCGTCGCTTTATTCCACATTGCTCAGACATCCTACAACCTTTGACGGAGGTGTTAAAAGGTAAAGTCAAAAAGTTCACATTACCCTCCCAAGCGAAAGATGCCTTTTCTGCAGCTAAAACAGCAATCGCTTCTACTACCATGCTGACCTACTTAAGCCCTGACCCGGAAGCAACACTAATCCTGTGTACAGATGCATCACAGGCAGCAGTAGGTGCAGTACTACAACAGCGAGTTAATAATGAGGTCAAACCACTTGCCTTCTTTTCAAAGAAGCTAGAACCAACCCAAACTCGATATAGCACTTTCGGTAGAGAACTATTGGCTATTTATCTAGCTGTTAAACATTTCAACCATTTACTGCAAGGCAGAGACTTTGTGATACTCACTGATCACAAACCTTTAACCTATGCCTTTAACGCGAAAAGTGACCGTTATTCCCCTAGAGAAATGCGACAATTGGATTATATTTCTCAATTTTCGACCAACATACAGTTTATAAAAGGTGAGTCAAATGTTGTTGCAGATACTTTGTCACGTTTCAACGTCGATGCAATTTCCTTCACCAAAGGAATCGATTTATCAGACATGGCACGTTTGCAGACAGATGATCCCGACCTTGATGCTTGTAAACAAAGTTCGAGCTTGTCCTTAAAAAGTGTTCCTATACCACATTCTGACTCTACTATCATTTGTGATACTTCTACTGGAACTCACAGACCTTTTGTGCCAATAGTGTACAGAAAAAGAGTTTTTGATTGTCTTCACTCACTATCCCATCCAGGGATTCGTGCTACTGTGAAACTGATTGCTGAAAGATTTGTTTGGCCAAAGATGAATGCAAATATAAAAAAATGGACCAGGACTTGTTTACAATGTCAGCGCAGTAAAATACATAGACATACGATTACAACACCGTCAGCATTTAGTCTACCCGACCATCGTTTTCAACATGTTCATGTTGATTTAGTTGGTCCTCTTCCTCCATCTAACGGATTCACTTACATTTTTACTGCAGTGGACCGTTTTACTAGATGGCCAATTGCATGCCCAATAAAAGATATCTCCGCGGAAAATATTGCTGCT